TTACTCTAAAGTTGCTCTGCACTGACAGACACTGACCTAATGTCGATAATCACCAGATTATAGTACATCACTTCTCAGACATTCCATGCCCCGACAAATACCGATTGAACACAATATATATAAATACCTTTGAAAACAAGCACCGACCAACACCAACGTAACACACTAACCCGACAAAACCCAACAAATGTGTCTGCTGCCATTGGTCGCCGTCTATTGGTGTAGTGTGAATTACCTAAACTTGCTAAGCATTTTACAGCTGCTCTGATGCTGAAGTGGCACTTGGTGTGTTTCCGGATGGCTCAGACCCACCAGGAAACATCACAGAGGATGGAGGAAAAAGGTTTTGATTGGGCCATCTTCATTTAAAATGGAGCTGATTTGACTTCTCTCGCCGACACTGGACATCATTATCATCAGTACTGCTGGTGACATTTAAGTGTTAGCTAGATAAAAGAGAAGACTTTTCATCTATATATAACAGCTATAAATTAGAAATGTATAAAAAACCTTACAAACTTGAATTTAATTTCCATGATGATAAATCAGTCAAAACCCACTTTTAATTTGTGTTGCATATTAAGCTCACATCTTAAAACAGTGGAATCTTTCTTTTAATTACAGAAGGAAAAATAGTATGGGTAAAAAAGGTTTGAAAAAGTCTCCAGTGTACTGCAGGACTATTAGACACAATAGTCTGACTTAGCAGCAGGTCTGTAAATAAAATTAGCCATCTAGTTTCTTTCTTTCTTTTAAACTTTGTGTTACTATATCAATTTAGACTTATTAAAGCTATAAGTTATCCAACCAAGAGCAGTGAGGGGTTTTCTCTGCCTTGTCAAGATTGTGGTTTGATTAATATCCCTTAATTGCTAATTTTCCATGTATAATCTAAACGCCTCTGGTAAAGGAAACTAATAAATTAGTTCATTTTATTTCAGGCCAAATATTGAAAGCAGCAGCTCATTCTGGATTTTTTAGTTCCAGAAGAGCATGTTTTGGGGATTTTTCAAAGATAAGCAAAGATAAGCAAAGAAAGAAAGAAAGAAAGAAAGAAAGAAAGAAAGAAAGAAAGAAAGAAAGAAAGAAAGAAAGAAAGAAAGAAAGAAAGAAAGAAAGAAAGAAAGAAAGAAAGAAAGAAAGAAAGAAAGAAAGAAAGAACGAACGAACGAACAAACAAATGGATAGACGGACTGACTGACTAACGGACAGAGAGACAGACAGACAGATGGATAAATATATCTGCCCCTTGAATTCCACACTGGGTAGTTTATTTTATTTTTAGATTTCAGCAATGAACTTAAGATGGGAATAATTTAGTTAACCAATGAGAAAGCACAGTGCAGGCCGAACTCTTAAGGGGATTCTTGGAGCGTGTGGAGAGACAGATGTCTGAATTATGGCCATATTGTAAAAGGAGCTTCTTCTCACAATTTCTGTGCACTAGAATATAAACAGAAAAGAATCCTGAACATTTTTGGAGAGAAATAAATATGGTAAAATAACATGGATGATTTTTGCCAGGGGGCTCGAAGGCGAACAGAGACATTTACTATAAAAAGTATGTGGAGAGTATCACTAATATAGTAGAGCTCACACTTTCTTTACACACACACACACACACACACACACACACACACACACACACACACACACACACACACACACACACACACACACACACACACACACACACACACACACACACACACACACACACACACACACACACACACACACACACACACACACACACACACACACACACACACACACACATTATACCACCAAGTTGTTTTTTTTTTTCAAAACTCTTTATCAACATATATACCATAACATAACTAGCCTTCAGGACAGTGAAGTCTGTAATGGTTGGGCCTCATTGTTAACTGCCCACAATGTATTATGTTTCCTAGTTAATTTAACCACAGCGGCGTATGGTTTCAAACTGAGAGACGCCAGGATGCTCATAAAAAATGCTGGACACATTCTAACAAGTACTGTTTTGCAATACACCACACTGATAGTTATAGGTCTGTGATAATGACATTGTGAGATAATTAGAGTAGACACAAAGGATATTTCACATAGCCAAAACTGAGATGATTCAAAGAGAAATGAATATGCATGAGAACTTTTCATCAACAGAAAAGCAATTCCATAATCCAGACTTTTATATTTTATTATACAGTGTGAAAATATGCCATAATTAGTAAATGGTCAATTAATTAGGTGGCTTTTGAAGGGTTTGCAATCAATATATGGATGTTTATTGTGCACACAAAGCTGTAGAGGAGGAAAAAGTCAATTACGTCTGATTATTATGCCTCATCTGTTGGTAAAATAGCTAATGTTCTGCATGGTTACATAACAAATGCTGCATTATGAAAGCAACTTCACATCTGTGCTAATACTTCATATACATGCAATAACACAAATACCCTGCAGCATCTTAAATAACCCACCTAATTCGTTTTGCCTGTCTAGGTCTGTTTAGTATTCAATAATAATGACTATTGAGCAAAAAAAAAAAAAAAAAAACCTGCATAAAAAATACTGTAATACAATGATTTTGAATTCTAATCAGAATAAAGGCAGTTAAACAATTGATTGATTGATTGCTTGATTGGGGGAGGCAATTGTGCTTAACTCTACTTAAGAATCAATTCTTTCTTTTTAGTTGCATTTTAAATATGACAGAAATGTTGTTGATTTGTTTTGTGAGCATCACCCAATCAAAATTAATTTAATAAACAAAACAAATAATCTCTATTGCTCTATTGTTTCACATTGCAAAATCTGATGTGTCTGTTTCCAAGCAGAATGCAATGTTGATTAGAATGACAGAAGGGTCACTGGCTCTCTGTAATTTACTCAACTCCCTCTGCACACATCGAATTTCCCCTCCTCATTGGGGTCACGCGTATTCATTTGGCAGGCACACTTTAGGAGACATAATCAGATGATGGTGTGCTCTTTTGCATCTTAACTTTTTGGGTGTTGTGTGTGTTTGCTATGATTAAAAAATGACCGTGGGTGCAGTCCTGCAATACGGACAAGCTCTGAAATCCACTGCCAGGCTAACCACCATCACCAAGACACATATACAAAGAGCTGTTATTCAGTCTGACGACCATCCGGTGGACACTAGAGAGACACACCCCGCTCAGTTAGGGTAGGGCCTTCCAGTTGCTGACCACTGGCCTCATACACCCACACAAGTGACTAAAAATAGCTAATTCAGTGGATCAACCAGATGTCAAATAGCTCAGGGACCTGACACAGAATGGATATCAGACAAGGGTCATTGCTGAAATTCATATGGTGCGGAACAAAAATTTGGACTGGATTTAAACATTGACTCAATGTTCACTTTTAGCCGATAAAATGTATTCAAAATGTACTCTCTTTCTCTTCCCAGAAAATAGATTAAAAAACAGAGAGGACTCATCCTACACAGATTTCTTTACAATCAAATGCTCTCTAAAATGAGAGTGTCTCTCCCCCTAATACCTGTCACGGATCTCGTCAATTCTGGTCCCTGGTTCCCGAGTAATCTTCAAGAGACATTTCTGGTATTTTTGGTATTCCTAAGTATCTTCTGAGCATTTGTTTTACCTTTTATTTTGGAGTCTGCATACCGTGTATAAATAAAGCCTAAGTTAATTTTACCTGTTCCTGAGCGTTCTGTGACAATACCACCTTTAACCAACTACTTTTTGTTCTTTTTTGTTTCGTTTTTTGACCCATTCAAAAGTTTCGGGTCAGTTTTTTTTTTAAGACAATACTTTTATTCGGCAAGGGTGCATTCAATTGATCAAAAGTGACAGGATATTTATAATGTTACAAAAGATTTCTATTTTAAACAATAAAAAAAAAAATTCTATTCATTTTAGAATCCTAAAAAAAAAAAAAACGGTTCACGGAATCCTGAAAAATCACAGTTTCCACAAACATATTAAGCAGAGCTGTTTTCAACAGTCTTGATATTAAGAAATCACAATAAAAGGGGCGAACCCTGGATAAGTTGCGTTAGTGTGTTGTCACCATGTCCAAAAGGCATTGTTTTTTCCACCATGAATTTAACCACCCCTTTTCAGCCTTCCTAAGGCAGACAATCTTAGGAAGCAGTGGTTAAAATGTATCATAACTATTCCTCATACAACCATAACCTTTTGTTGTGTTCTCACCATTTTTCATGAAGTACGATGCAGAAGTATGATTTTATAAATGACACACCGTTAGAACATCACATCCGAAATGTAAGAGTAAGGTATAAAATAAAGAATTACCACTGTGAAACATCCTGCACAAGTTGTGCTTGAGAAGGTGGTTCGAATTGATCAGCTTGCTCTTCTTGGCTTTCATTATTGGACTCGGGCTCGAAGTGACTACATATAAGCGTAGTTACAGTAGTATTTACGAAGACTCAGGAGCCGATTCTTACCGGTTATGGTAAGGGGCGTTACATTTCTGACACACGCTCTAAGCGGTAGATGACTCACAACAAACTGGGGACCAGCTGAACAAATTATGACCAAATTCTTTTGTTTTATGCATGCAGTAATTATGAGTGAAACATCACGACATCAGACATTGCCACCTTTTGGAATAAAGGTGAAACTTAATGAGTCAGAGGTTAAATTATTGTAGTGCAGAAAAAAAATACTTACACTAATACATACCTCGGGTCGCTAGCGACCCTATATACTTAAAAAAGAAATTGGAAACGCATTCTTTTATAATTTGTTTTTGTTATATTGTTGATAAGGAATAAATTGTGGATTACTGAGGTGGTTGATGTTTAACTTTAAAAATTTAATTCGGGGGAGGATAGTGATTTTAAACTGTAACAATATTTATCAATATTTCTTATTCAATGTTTTTTTACTCTATTTTTGATCAAATAATTGCAGCCTTTGTGAACATAAAGGACCCCAATGCCAAACTTCCAGTTTCAATAAAAATACATCACACATGTTTAAGGCATGAGTACTCACTGAGCTCTGCAATGCTCCCCACACGGGTCGCCAGGAGGGACTGTTCAATGGTGCGGAGTTCAGCCTGGCTGTAGGCATGGCCCTCTCCGGTTTTCCCTGCTCGCTGCTGGTCACGGTGCAGGTTCAGACTGTCCGGCAGGCTCAGTACACCTGTGGGACAAAGATCAGACAATTCAAAATAAATAAACATGCGAACAAGCCAAAACCAGACAAAAAACATCTGCAATGGGACCAAGAGACTTTGAAAGCTAAGTGTTATGACATTATCATTGTCTGAGAGGCAAATCAAACAACCCCTAAAGCAATTAAAACCGCTGTTTTTGTGTTGGATCTTTTTCAAGTTGCAACAAACCATGCGCCCACAGGTGAGTTCAGCTGCGTGTATTGGCTGGAGCCCTGGTAGTCTAATGTTCATTCAATAACCCTAATCAAATTACTGCACAGCACCGCAGCCAATGCTTTTGTTTGAACTGGAGAATAGGCAACGACAGATGGGATATTGGGCTCAGCCACAGGTGAATAAAGACAGACAAGCAGCTATCTGTCTGAGCTAAAGGCTTCACACATTAGGGCTACAGTATATTGTGTTCCTGAACTGGTTTTAATTAACGTCTGATATCTGTAACTATTTGGTTTTTAGACATCCCTATAGCCATTTGCCTTGTAGCGTGTCAGTATATTTAAGCTATATTGTTTTCATGATGTTGCTTTTATACAACAGATCAATAAACAATAAGTTAATATTGAGTAACATACACTTCAAACACAGTATTGTCAGTTACGATGTCTACATTTGCTCCACCACAGCAGAACCACGTCAGGAGTGGTGTTTTTGAATGGATATTTCAATGACTCATAAATTAAAGCTATTTGTTTTGTTCCTGTGAAGTAAATGGTTCAATGACTCACTCATAAAGAGACCCCTGATTCATTCTTTAATGAATCAACGTTTTTTTAATTATTTAAGTAAATAATTAAGACTCATTAAGACAGTAACTTGTTTCGTTCCTGAATGAAACAGTGTCGTTAAATGATTTGGTTGAGTAAGTTATTCAATGACTCACTCATCAAGACAGTCCTCTGATTCATTCCTAAATGACTCAATGTTTTTGAATGATAAAACTGAACGAATGATTCAATGACTCACTCATAAGAGTACCAGAACGAACTGTTGTATAAATACACAAACACAAAAACAGTGTTAGAAATAATACATAATATTAGTTACATGATCAGATTAACCTTAATAATAACACATACTGTAACATTACTTGTATAATAAGTAACACAATATATTAAACATGGTACTTTTAAAAGTAACATTCTCCAACACTGCACACAAGCATGCAACAGCCTTCCAGGAAGCTATTTTAAGCAGGTTATACTCTTGACTTTCATCTAAAGGGATTTGTGTTGTCAGTCTCCCAGAAGTGGGTAAATATCCTGTATCCTGTTGTATACTGAATGAAGCCGTTAGCACAAAACAACACAAGGAAAGAAACACAGAAACTCATGAAGTTTTCATAACACCATGATTAAAATGACCTGGCACTGCGGTTCTGGCTGCTGCAAATCTCTTTGTGGTTTAGTGAGTTTATGCATAATGGAGGATGTGCAATATTCTCCAGATGGGAGACAAGCTGATTGCTTTGTCAAGAGAGACAATGTTGTTCATGGGTGACATGATGCTTTTAAGGAATTTTGAAGGGAGTTCAAGCGAGGGAACACTTTGTTTTGGTTGATTGTCTCATCTGATGAAGTTTCTTTTAAGTTGAGTGCGTGAGGAGCAAATGTTTGCATGTGTACGGTCCCTAATGAAGCCGCAGGACATCGCACAAGCCAACGTGATGATGCCAGTTACAGTAGCTGCAGCATTTTGCTGCGGGTTTTTGTACAGTTGAGCGAGGGGTGAGAGAGGAAGGATGATGTAGTCCATAAACAGGATCCGGCACAAAGTTACAGGGGATTGCTTGACCTGGTTTTGACTAAAAAATACCTTACAGCTGTGACAGCTGGGTTATATATGGAAACATACACATGTATGTTACATACATTATAGGACAAACCTTAATTAGTGCTGCTCTTATCTTTTACTTTTTTAGTGCTCCTATGTCATTTAATTTTATTATGTTAATACATCAACTTAATTGAGCTTTTAACATCTGTTTTTACAGTAAAATGTTCTGATAATAAAGCAGGTGGTACAACTGACAAACAAAAATGGCTAAATATTCAATGTACGTAACTGAAAACAAACTAAAAATATCTTATTTTAAATAAAATCTAAACAATTGTGACAGGGAATTCTGGGACTGTCCTTCTGGCCCATAAATAACTTTTGCTCATACCAAAAAACAAAAAAACAAAACCTATTTTACTATATTTCTATTATATTTTATTTACTATTTTAAAAATAAATTATCTAAATATATATAACATATCATCTAAAATATAATATAAATAAAAAAATACTTTTGAAATAATATTGAAACTATTGTTATTGATGGTTCACATGGGGAATTATGTAATTTGAGTCCATAAAAAGCATACAATTATTTTTACTCATACAAAACTTATATATATATATATATATATATATATATATATATATATATTATTTACAAGTCAAATTAATTTCAGTTTTGTATGAGTAAAAATAATACATATACATATAAGTTTTAACTTATATGGGAAGATGAATTAGAAATATATTAACTGTAATAACAGCTTAACAAAAATTAAGCGTTCAAATCAAAGTATATTTAAATATATTGTTTCCTCAGGCACAAACACAAAAAAAAACATGCAGTGCATGTGAGCTGTCATCACAATTCCCAGAATGATATGGGAGGAGAAACAGACAGGTTTTTGATCGCTAGAAATCTTCTCATGACTCTTTCACTTCGGCCAAAAATATGCATTCCAGTGGGAAAAACAAGCCTCAATATTTTATGACCCCGCCACCCAATCAACATTCCCTGTCTTGAAACTCTTCACTCTCTTCCTCTATAATCTCAGTGCATCAACTTTTCAATGTCCTTACAGACGCTAAAAGATTCCCCTGCAATATTCATACAATCCGATCACAAAAAAAGTGTGTTAGAATGTTCTAGTTAGTCCAACTTTGCAGCCCCACCATGCATCAACCACATTATCTCTCTCCAGCACTTGTATTCCCTACTGAGAGGGAAGCAACGGTTATTTTTATTTTCAGCAATATGTTTTTCTTCGCTTCATATGGTGACTTAAAAGGTGAAGGGGGTGGGAAGAGAAAAATGAGACCCGAGTCCCTTGAAGATTGTGACCTTGGACCAAACACTTTACTCTAAATGTTCCTTAGCACGATATTTATAAAAACCTGATTCTTCAACAACTAGGAAAGTTTCTCCATACTTGTACAGTGAAATGGGGGGGGAGGACATTGAGTCATAAGAACACCATCTACTCGAGAACAGTTTGCAATAACTTTGTTTTAGATAGACTGGCATAAATAAAACAGTACAAATGCTGCTAGACACTTCAGTCATAGCTGAGAAAATGAAGGAAACGCAGAGAGTTCTTTATCTCATAACAAGTTTGAAAACTTCCTCTCTCCATAAGTTCAGAGGCCAGGCTTTGTTTCAGACACATTTTGTGACCTGATCATAAACTGATACTCAACCTGAAGAGATTGAGCTGTAAAAACGACATGCTGATGGATATTTGGGTGTAATTTGATTGAAGACTGAATCCCCACGTCCTTGTTTCTACAGCACATCCATAGTCCTAGTAACCATGGTGCTCGGTTAGCCAAGACAGAGCATATCCTTTTTATTAAACTTCCGGCAAAAGAAACATTTAGAAAGAATATGTATGAGCACACGACAAATCTTCAGTTTTTCCAAAGAACCTTCTGCTCACTGACCTGAATATCACATTGCTCGTAGTTCAGAGATAGTTTCATTGTGACAATATTCCTTGCGATTATATCACACAATGCAACATGTTTAATGAACTATATCGTTTTTCCTGTGCAACAATGGTGGAAATGTTCAACAGCTTTTTAGAAATATTTCCCTTATCAGCAGCCATTTAGATAATCTGATTAGGTTCAACTTTATTTAGATGGTCCACTTTAGATATTCTACTAACTACGTAACTTTGCAACTATGTCAGTTAACTCTCATTAGAGTATTAGTATTCTATAGACTGTTAGAAGTCTGTTAGGTTAGGGTTAGGTGTGGCTTGGGTTAGTAGAAGAAGTTGTCATGTAGTTGCAAAGATACTTATAGTCAGTAGAGTGTCTGATGGGGGAGCATCAAAATAAAATGTTAGCAGATATTAAGCAGACAGTCCATAATACTCTAATGAGAGTTAGCTGGCGTGTTGTTACAAAGTTACTTATAGTTAGTAGAAAGTCTAAAGAGGACCATTTAAATAAAGTGTAACCTCAGATCACAACTCAAATCATTCATTAAAATACAATGAATTGTGCAGGCACATCTGCATTTTAAGAAATAATTACAATTGACTGATAAAACCACAGCATCAGTCAGTAAATGAGCGAATACTTTTAATGGACATTAAAATCTCATTAAATGACTGTAAGACGTATGCCTTTGGGGACCAGTCATTATGTACAATATTACTGCCATGATTATGGGCCCATAATTCTCTGCTGGTTTTAGTGGCATTTAAGTGAAATCCAAAAATGACTTGGATGCCTCAACATTGGTCGTAAACCCAGAACTTCGACAGACTATCACATCATCCCCCTCTGCCGCTACATCTGTCACTTCTTAAAGAGCCAATTCATTTTCTATATAAGGAAATAGAGAGGAACACAATGTGCTAGCCAGATGGAAGCAAAATGAACAATATAAGTGCAGGTATATTATATTAGTTGAATGCCAAATGGATTATCCACATGTCGATGCTGGTTTCAAGCTGCATTACACTGAAAATACTCAAAAGAGATAAGACATTAAGCCTGTACTATTTACATGTCTTTGAGTACAAAGGTCCAGACTGTGTTCCAGACCTCTGTAAATTGTTCATACTCTCTGAATAACGAACTAGCCATTTAAAACTGCTCCTATGAATGTCTGCATGTACAACTAGGTTTAAAACGTGTGAAAATGATGGAGAGCGATATGTCGCTGCGAGACGCT